CTAAGTCTATAAAATTTTCTATTTTACTGCATAATAGAAAAGGTACAAATGAAAGAAAAAAGTAATTCCAAAGCAAAAGCTCCTTTATTCAGCTGTTAATGGTATTTTCTGTTTACGTGCAACCAACCACGCTGACGAATTAAAAATCCTTCGTATATTCGATGAAAGAATGTGAAGGATATGTTTATATTTTTTAAGTACGCTTAATTAAATACACTATATTACGAATAAAGAGTCGAGGAAGTGTGTTCGGTTTTAAATTTTGTAGGATAAATGTTATATTTAATAGTTTTTGTATTTCACGGTCTTATTTAATTTAAGCTTCTTTATATATACAATATTTTTTAAAACAATATACCAGATGAAATTTTCTTGTGGTCCCCGCATTTCTTGTGAAGTTCCGGCATAGATAACTTCTTTCCCGTGTTTGTTGTAAGAGACGACTAAGCGAAGGTGGGCAGCAGCGTCTTTCTTAAAGCATCTCCAAAGTGTAACTGCGGTTGCCAATCCGCCTACCAAACATGGCAAAACCTCCCTAGGGGGAGACTATGTTCAACAGTGGACAGTTAAAAGCTGATATGATAATAACGACGATACAGGGTGAAATCCATGTCATTACAATTATTTAATTTGTGAAAGAGACATTAAAAAAAACATATGTCGAAAGAAGGGTCAAATCAAGAGTAAACAAAATTTGAATTTCTATTTCAACTCGACAAAATTTTATTTAAATCCTTTCACCAGTTTAAGCGTGATTGAGTAACACATCCATACAGCCAATCTTTATTTTATTATTTATATAAGGATTCTCCAATAGGATAGTCGATTCTTTTACATTTGATTTTTTTTTTTTTTTTTTACAACACAGGGGGCAAACGAGCATGCGGCTCACCTGATGGTAAGTGACTACCGCCGCCCATGATCACCCACAACACCAGCGGCATTGCAGGTGTGCTGCCGGCCTTTTAAAAAGGAATATACTCTTTTCTTATTATTTCTTGACACAATAAGCGTGTTTTTTTTTTGGTGATAATGGAATGGTAATCCCACTTGCGCTATCGATATTCTTTGGCACGAGGCACTATTGAGGGATGACAGACGAGATTAAAAGCAGGTCAGTTAGCTAGTTGTGACGAATTTCACAAGAATTAATCAAGATGGTTTCCAGAGAGAACTGGATAGAACTCGAGCTGATAGGGTATATTGCCAGCAATGGAGCTGTTAGGTCCTCATTACTAACAATCCCTTCACACCACGATAAGCGTGTTTCGCTTAAAAAGCTTTTTATATCATGATGGTGGCAAACAAACATACAGTTTATCAGATGGTAAACGGTCACAGTAGCTTATGGAAGCCTATAACACTAGGGGCGTCACGTGCACATTGTCGCTGTTGAAGAAACCTTATCTCGTCTAAAATTACACTTTCCCTTTAGAAGTACCAATAAATTAGGGTCTTGGTAACACAGTACGTTTTAGGATATTCCATGCTATTGACCATAGATTACCGTTAACAATTTATCATTATGAGAGCTTTCAGTTTTTTTCTCATCTACAATTATAGAATAAATAAAAAACACAAAATGACAACGAACTAGTTTTAATTAGTGACTGTGAAACCAATACGAGAGTAAACGTTCTAATTAAAAAATAATTATCAAAATTGGTTTTAAATTGGCTTTCAGATATCACGTATAATAAATTCAAATTTCTTACATTTTGACAATGACTGCATTTTTTTTTATTACTTATATAATAAATACCAAAAAGTAGAACTTATATTTTAATAGTACTTATTAAGAAGTAAAATTAAATACAGGAATGTCCATGTTTCGTGGTAGACTGCGCTTTTAGCTTCGTTATCAAGTCGGAGCACGCAATCCTACAATCATAGCTGATGGAAACCACGGTGAATGCATATCAAAACTCTGTTTTAGCACCTCAATAATACAGTAATTTCTCACCTTCCGTGCTTTTAAGCGCCTATTCAACTGAAGAAGTCAATTTATCAATTTGCTTTTTATTAACTATGGTAGTCAGTCTAACTAAATGATATATAAACATATTATTTTACTAATTATTTAAAATATGAAAGTTTGTAAAGATGTTTAGAAGTTCAATCAATGAATAGATTTCAATGAAATTTGGTACACAAATTGATCTTATCCTGGTTTATATGAAATTTTATTTTACAGCTAGTTAATATTCGAAACTGTTTAAATTGAATCTAGTTTACTTTGCAAATTTTTATATAAATATTGTAAGTTCAGATTATTCGTTACCTTGTAATTTTTATTATAAAGCTAAATTAAATCCAAATATACGAGACGGACAATAAACCAACAATTGCGCGTGTAACTGTGAAGCAATGGACACATGCAATTGCCGAGTCGCCTGGAAACTATGCTAATTTTCGTTCGATATCTCTGTCTGCAAAAGTGAATAACCTGTGGTCAAACAAAATATTTGGCCAGACGATAGTCTAGAACCGTTTAAATTTTGTTTACTAAAGTTGTAATGCAGTAGATGTTCATCTTTAATAATTTTTGAAAATTAACAATCATATTAATATGCTCTTCTTTGGGTTTTGACAGAGTAAGAAATGCATTATTATAATTGTCCAATGCCTTTGGTAAGTCCTGAACGATTACATAACGATTTTTGTGTGTTAGTCAATCGGTAGCGAAGACTTTTTTAGATTTTGGTAATATCACATTTTTATAAATATATGTCATAATGACTAAGTCCCGCGAATTAAAATTTAATTTATTTTTGACCTAAATCTATATTCCATTGTCACAAAAGGTAAAAATATAACCTAAAACATGTTTTTATTATTTTTGATTAATTAAATATCAGATTTCGCGTCTCAGAACACTTGAAAGGAATGTTAAAAATTGGAACTCTTAAGATGGTAGTACAGTGAAATAAACGTAATAGCAGTGTTAATGGCAATCCAAGTGCCAAGTAATAAATTATTTATAACGCCAGCATTCTGGGATTCATTTTTTATTAGGGTAAAAGCTTTACCAATGATATGAATTAATTAATTATATGACTATATATTTATCGTGAAGTGCATTATACATGTATGTCTGCGTACTGGTTATAAAATTAATAGAAAATTTAAAGTTTATTGTGTAACAAGTATAGTCTCGATTTATAAAATACAATAAATATTTATTTTTTATTTTTATACAACTTAGAATGGCAAACAAGCTGACGGCCTAACTGATGGAAAGTGGTAACCGTTGCCTATAGACATGAGCAGTACCATGGACATAACAGAGTATACTGTTTCGCCTATGATACGCCCCATGCGTTGTCATTTCTAAGGACTCAGCTGTTATTCCTCTGTACCCTGTAAATTAAATAATTAAAACATCTCTAAAAGCCTCAGTTGCCAACTCATCTGCCAAGCGTGGCAACTCCTGGCAAAACTCCTCTTATGGGAAAGGTTTATGTCCAGTAGTGGATCATTAACGATTGAAATAATAATAATAAAGGAATAATTAAAATTAACTTATTGCCTATATAGAATCATTGCAAGCAAATATAGATGAGTTAAAACTGCTTTTGTTAACATTGTCAAAGTTGCAAGTATAAACAATAATTGTTATAAAATGTTCTCATTGTGTCATTGATAACTATCGTAGCGTATATTTACTGAAATCGGAAATGTCTAGTTAGAGCTACTGAAGCTTTCATACTGAATACTTTATACCTACCTTTATATCAAAATAATTTTGTTTAACATATTCTATAACATTAATTAATAGTTCATTTTAATCTTTCAAATATACATTATAATTTAAATTTATTTTCGGAATTTAATGTGAAGTGATTTCGGATAAAAACTGCGCTAGCAGTCAAAAGAAGCTTCGCTCATTTCAGTCTTGTCGAGACCACGATGCTGTGCAATCTACTATAAAAAGTCGGCAATAAAATTAGGCATGTGTATAAATTTAATATAAATTAAATTTAATATAAATTATTTTTATTATATATCCACATTATTTATCTAGTTAGTACATAAAAATTTGTATTGTTGTAGTAGTAAATATCTAGGGTATAAAAAAATACACTTCTATTGAACGCGCTATTGCTTAGCAAGTTTATTTTTGTCCGTTTATCATAGCAGAGTTAGATAACAAAATTGATATGTAATGTATGAATACTGCGACTGTTATGTAGTGCGTAATATAAGATTATTTCAAATTAGCTATGACGTGGTTGGGTGATTTGAATAAATGATGCTTACTTAAATATCCAGACAAGACTAAGCTTGGACCCGGCCCATTACATCTACCAATGTGTAATGGGCCGGGTTATTGAGTTCCCTAAAATGTGGTTAGGCGCAATACTGGCTGGTCCATTCGTCATACTCGTGAACGGGTGCTGCCTGTAGGGACTGGTCTGTCGTGAGCACTGCAATAATTTATTTTTATAATTTTATTCTAATGCTATTTATATGCTAATATCTTAATTTTTACAATCGAATATTGCTTAGTAGTTTTTATTCACACAAATTCATAATTTATAAAAATTAATTTTTGATAATAACAACAGCTGATTTTCTTGTTCCGTTCTTTTTACTTTAAATTGTATTCCGGATGGGTGATAAAATCATAATAAATGTTATCCAAAAATGCTTAAATTTAAATTTATTTGAATAAAAATATTAATTTCTTTCTTTATAAAAAAAAATATGGATTTATGACGGTTTCAAGTTAGTAGTATTACATCGACAAGGATTAATTATTCTGTTAGTTTAAACGAGGAACTTAGAAAGTCGACATGGAAAAGGTATTAAATAGTGGCTTCGATAAACGGCCCAATAAGTTATGTAAAGTGCGGGTGCATCGGGTTACATTACAACCCCTACATGCTGTGTGAGGTAGTACGCATGCGCATGCAATGTCCGCCGCGTACGGCATATGCGGAATATTAAAGGAGGAAAGAGAAAAAAATTAACTTGTAAAGCCATTTTCGTCTATCGGTCCCCTCGCCCGCGGACGGCTACGCGGCTTCTCCAGTGTAGCAGACAGAGAGGCTCGCGCGGTCGCGGCGTACGAACGCTGCTGTACCGAAACGTTCTACGCGTTCGCACCGTTCCGCCGGCTTTGTGATTACACGTTGTGCCACTAATAAATTGTGAAGTGTCCGAACTTTAAGTTTTAGACGTGAGCCGTGTGTATCAACCCTAGACTTCGACTTTCCTTAGTGAAAGATACTTTCTGTGAAGTGCAAGTTCCGCGAAGTTGTTCGTTCTCTAGTGTTACCTATAGTTTGTAAAGTGACAAAAACTAGTATTCTGTAATAGTGATTAACGTTTGCATTATTCATTGCTAGTAAAAGTGGATATCGACCCTTATTTTAAACAAGTTCAAACTTTCGTCAGTCTCTTTGTCTGAGTAAGAAGTTTTTGGAAGCAGAAAATTTGATGACCACAAATTTACAGGTAACTTAGTAAATAATTAAACTATGTTGAAATATTAATAATTTAAGTTAATAAAACTGATAAACTGTGAAATAGATATAAATTGACGTTGATATAAATATACATTTATTCGTAACATTAAATACAGTGTTTACAATAATAACAACTACAATACATTTTATTATAATAAATAATACCGTATTTAAAACAACTAAATCATTCATTTGTTTGCCCATTTAATCTTACTTTTGACTGTTTTATTGCTGAAGTTTAACTTTTGTTAAAAATTTTATATTACAATGTATTAAAGAAATAAAAACATGTATGTATTAAAATTTATTTAAACGAGTGTTATATTTAAAATTTTTCAATATATGTTATTACATTATAAGTAGCTTTTATGTACACCTCACCTGTCCCTTACGACAGCTGTCGGAACAGTGAAACCGGCTTAAAACATCAATTTCAAATGAGACATCTACAACATCAATTAAGATAACTTTTATCAATAAGGAAACAAAATAAAAAGAGTATTTACATGTCTATCTACTTTACATGTAACTAAAAAGGTCAACGATTAGGAACACACCATAACGCTTGCAGGAAACGTTAAGTTACTTTTTTTTATTTACGATTTAATATTTGTATGGCTGAGTGCACTCAAAAATAGACAACTCTAATAAAAATCCATACTTCCACCGATAAATTATCGGGAGACGTTCTTTTTATTGGAGTAACGAATGGTGAGATGAGTAATGGCGCAAGTTTTGCCAATAAATCACGCTTACCCCGACTATGAGGAGCTCCCAACGTCTGAGTAGTATTTGGGAATAGTCCCCCCTTGTTAGTTTTATACACTCAACGAAGTCTGCAGTCGACGGTGGCGAGAAATCGTGCAATATCGACTTTTGATTGTTATCGTTCGCTGTTATATGAGAATGTACCTTTATATTAAATTATTTCTGTAAACTATTCTTATACTAAGTACGCTATTTTAAGAGTGTAATATCTGATAAATTGAATAATTATAGATAGAGATAATCAGTAAAATATCTATTTACCATACTGAGTATTTCTATTTGCATTTTATTATTTTTTTTTGTAATTCGTTATCCGAATCCTATTCCGAAATTCGTTCCTCTTCAAGAATAAGTTACTTGTGCATTTTATTGTAATATGCAAATCATTTACCAAGAAAAGAAATTTTATTGTTCTTGGCAACCACAAAGACTGAATCATATCCGCCCAATAATTATTTGTGTAACTCATGATTCCCCCTATTATTGTCGTTGGCATTAAATATAATCAAATATCAGCAACCATTTTATTGGACAAAAATTTTTGTGTGTCGATTTCTGACAAGAAAATAGAAGTGCTAAATAGACCATTCGATGAGCCGTGAAATGATGTGTCTGTAATGATACCAGTTGATGATCTATTGTTTAGTAATATTGCTGTTGGTAAGTGTATATAGCATTTAAACTTCACATATAGATTTTATTTTGAATGTACATATTACCCTATCCCTGTCTTTAATTACAATACCATTTATCATGCTCCAGTTGTATATAATGGGTTTATGTGTGATATTACTAGCCTTTGGTGTAAAGTTGACACAATTTCATATTAAACACTCTAAGGTTATCTTGAAAAGATTGTTTTCAGCAATAAAACCGCCTTACTGTACTTATATAAGTGTATGATTATATATTTATTCTTCTATTCTTGCTTTATTCCCTATATGGTATAATTCAAATAAAGTGTACTCATTCTTTCTTTCGAAAAACACTTTGAAATAAAGGTATAAAAGTAAATCTTTAATGTTACTAGAATGTAATAACTTATTACCAATGTTGTAACCTAATTTTAAACATATTTTAAAATGACTACAACCGACCACTGATTCTACTTTACGATATCAATACATATGTTGTAACTGTGTTTTTTTTCGATAACTTCTTACAACAAGCCATTGCTCGAGATAAAAATTCTTATTTATGACACGTTATGTGCTAATAAATTATATTATAATTATAACACATTATATGTTTATTTTGTTTTTGTTCTCATAACAACAATCTTATAGCGATCGTTTATCAATCAAAATGCTGAGTGCTTTCGAATCTACGAATAATTTATTATCAGTTATTTCAATACTTAGTGTTTATTTAAAAAGCTGGCACAATGACCTATGTGAATTGTTTGCAATTTAATATAACAAATACATTTGTACGGTAGTGAGTAATGCCGGTTATAATGTCCCTGGTGTTACAGGCGTCCATAAGCTACGGTAATTCCTTTTACCATCAGACGGGCTGTACGTTTGTTTGCTACTACAGTAGTATAAAAAAATCTCACAATAGATTTGTATGTATACTTACTTTATGAAACAGTAATTCACATGTGGCCCTCAACTCAAACTACATTGTTATGTTGTGCTATAAGAAATTTGCAAGTAAAGAAACATGGAGACGTGTGTACACTTATGCAACTTAGAATAGCAAACAAGCTAATGGCCTATCTGATGGAAATCGTCGCCTGTAGAAATGAACTATGGACATAACAGAGTATATGTGAAATGATCAAATGTTTACATTGAATTATTGAACTCGGAACTTTACTATACACAACATTTACGATAAACTGATAATTAACAATAACGTGCGTATAAAATACTATATCGTATATATTGTATATAATAATATAGAAATTATAATTGATAATAACAAATAGATGTTCCCACGTCACCGGAAACCGGCACTAGATCGCCACGCTCTGGTACTTTGCTCTTTCACTATTGTCCCTTTGTCCCAACTTAGCTTCGTCAGTCCTTCAAAAGAGCGGCTCTTTATTTCACGGATCTAGTTTGACGCACTTAATGCGTATTGCATCATTCGTTCCACACCATTTTCCTCTTTGGTGCACATCGATCGGTTGGCTGCCCCTTGTCATAGCTTAAGTAATAAGGATCGTTTATTTTTAATTACATCTCTAAATTGTAGTTTATTTTTAGAAGATCTCACCTTTAGATAAAGGACTTTTAATGTAAATTTGGCCTAATTAATTTAGTATGTAAAATGATGAGCATGCTTATTACCAGAGTAGTCTTAACTTAAGACATAGGCAGGATAGTTTATATGCTAATTAATGCGGGCAAAGCTCAGCAGCAATGCAAAAAGAAATATTATAAAGAGAAAAGATTGATTGTTTGTTTGTAAAAATTACTTAACCAATTTTAGAAATTCTTTTACTTATAAAAGCTACATTATGAGCAAGTAACATTGACTATATATTATTAAAAAAAAAATAGAGATCTTTATGAAAATTACAATAATGAAATCCAAGGTATTAAAAAATTTGCCTTAAAAATAATGCTTTGGCATACGTTTTATTAATGATACATAAAATAATGTTTTACGTATTTATAGTACTCATCATTATCCACAAAAAAATCTGCGAAGCTATACCTATCATAATTCAATCACAATATCCGTTTTTTGTTTAAATTAGTCAATCTAAATGCGAATAGAATCAAATTATAATGATATTCGTATCATAATATTAATATTTCTTCAAATAGTTTTATAATCAAAGTTAGTTATGTATAAGTAAATTTCTCTTTAAATTATTCGATATGAATCTTTCGTTTAGAAGTGACGACAGGTATAAAATTGCTAGATGGAAGCAAATGTCGCAAGTATGAGTGAATATCCTTACAGTTGATATTGTTGTATTATTTTATTGGTCTAAATAGTTTCAAAATACTTATTTAATCATTATCCATCTAACGTACCCGTGTTAAGTTAGGTTCCAAGTTATAAATTAACAGATATTGCTTAATTAATTTAAAATTATATTCTTCAATGAGGCATTAATCAAAAAATATTTTATAAAATGAATCACTGAACATAAAAATAAATTATTAAATTGGTTGAAAATAATAATTTATTCCATGTTCAGTGAATACATTGTACTTTTTTATAGTTAAAAGAGTTAATCTAGTCACTACAAAGATCAAGAGTAAATATAGAGAACAGAAAGACTAGTGAAATTTGCATTCCTGCTTCGGTCCGATGGCTAACATAATCTAGGACCACCCGCGAAGACTTGATTCTCCAATACATTATCAACTTTATTGCAAATACATAGAACTTCAAATCAAGATTTTCAATTACTTCGATCGCACCTATCCCTTGGAATAAGATCGCTACGAACCAGTCGCGCAAATTTCAATATCAAGTGAATATTATTAGCTCACGTCCATCCCATCCGATATCAGCTAAGAATGCAGTATTTCTAGATAGTTGCGACGTACAGATGGGCTTTAATTATAAAGATGTTTTATGTAAATAGAAACAAGCAGATTTTTTTAATCTTCGCTCATTCCAGTACAGTTGCAGCATTCGAATCTCATTAGCAACTGAAATAAAAGAAAAAAGCTGGCAGTAATAAATTTTAGCAAGGCTCAAGTCGAAACGTTTATGGTTCCTTTTAATTTGGTTGCCATTGTCGGGGCGTCCCGCTGAGCACTGCCGCCGCTCGTTGGATTTCTTACTAGAATTCCAGCTGTTTCAAATATTGGTTACTTCTCATTAGTCGATTAAGGATGGAAATTATATATCTGATATTTAATTATGCCGATTAGAATTAAAAGTGTTAGTATTTAAGTTTTTAATGAATATTGAGGTATATATTAAAATGATCATAATCATTATCAATGTTAACGTTTATAATTATATTTTTGTAATAATTTGTTACTTTAGTATTTTTATCAAGTTCTGAATATGAGGCATTCTTACATTTTTCTACTAGCTTATTAAAATTTTACACAAACAAAAAATTCTTAAGGTGCAATTTGTATAATAACTATCGGCAGATGTATTAAGAGCCAGGCAGCAAAGACGTCATAAATCAATGCGGATTTTGCGGTGACTACCTACATTTCGAAGAATTCGTGTTTATTTTAAAACATCAAAGTCATGTGACTAGGGCTCTAATCCTGCTGTGAGTGTGTATCACCC